TATTCGGAAAGAATAAACCAGTTTTATTAAGAAAGGACTTGTGTCGCTAAAGTTTCGTCGGAACGAATTTACGGAAAATTAACTAACGAACGGAGACGTAACAATACGGTTATAAACACCATTTGATATAATACACATTATCTGTTTCACAGAGCTCTGCTGTGCCATCTGTTGACCAATAATATAATAAACTCGAGGAAGACAGATAATAACATTAAAAAACAAAGCTTAGATCCGAAAATTTGAGTTATAAAATTGAAAACTTTGGGTTTAAAATATTTTGAAAATGCAATCGTTTTTTCAATGGCTTTATATGTATCCCTTGAGTTCTACAAGAGCGATCTTCTAGAAAAACATTATTACATAAAGGACTATTACAAAAGGCAGTTGTTTTAAAGGAACAATATATAAATTTCTCTGTAAAATAACTAACACATAATGTTCGTTGCTTTTTTTTTTCGTACGAAAAAATCCGTCTCCAATTTGACTTAAATGATAAATAGTCGCACTTAAATCAGCGCTAACTGAAATGAATAAAGTTTTTAATATCATATATTTTTTGCATTATATATTGTACTCCCGTGTAAGTAGCAGTCAGTCTTAAATTTTATTACTTTGATTAAAGATGACTGTAGGTTATTGTTCAATTTCTAAAACTATACTTAAACTACTGCGATATTATGACGATTTCTAAATGCTCACTCTATAAGTTTTATTGGAACATGTCATATAGGTTTATTCATAACGTAAGCCATTAATTAAGCTGTTTTAATCTAGAGAGACTTTTTTGAGAATAATGTCCCTCTTTTGTTTATTTCAGTTTTGTTTTAAAGTACAGCAACATTGTGCTATCTGCTATGTCCACCAAAGGGAATCGAACCCTGAATTTTAGCATTTTAAGTCCATAAACACATTGCTGTCCCTTCGGGGGACCCTTTTCTTACATTGGGAAACACCTTCAAGCTTGGAACATTCCATTTCAATAACAATGTAAACACTCTGGTGTTGTCATTGAGGGATACCATACCTACTTATGACGCCAATAAATAAACTAACTCGCTCATTTACAACTTATCCTTAAATATTAGTTGTTAGATTCAGAATTTCGCGCAAGTTAAGCTACGAACCTAATTTTGAAAATCTAAAGATGAAGAATTTAGCCAACAGCAACATTATTAACTTTAGTCTACTTAGTTGGATTTGATTGTCACTCTTATAGCACACCCACGACCCCAAAGTTCGGAGCGCGCTTTTGTGGCAATGAGAGGCAAAACATGACCCTTTGAATGCACTGTCTATCTAAGCTAATCACTGAGCAATGCCCGGTTTCCTAACAGTTAAACAGTTTCACCTAATCATAGGGCTAATATTTAGTTTTATATCGGTTTTGAGCTCTAGCGCTATGTAAATTACATTTATAATTATCCAATGATATATATATATATATCCTGCAAGAAAAAAATAAGTAATGAAGAATAGTTGTAACAGAAGTAGTTGATCTTCTATAAGTTTCCATTATCTATGTTTTAAGAATAGTTTATAGTTTGTTTAAGATAAAGACCCTGTCATTTTTATTGAATTTTTATAAGTGTCGAGTCATTATTACAACTGGATTATATGCCACCATTTCTATTTTCCAGTGCTATTTCTGAAACAAAATTAGTATTTGCTGGGGTTTCAACCGAATTATTGTGTGAGCAACAAATGAATTCGAAACTATTTATTTAAAATGCATAAATTTGTTAATTGCTCGAAAACAAAAAACATGAAAGTAATACTGATATTGAAAACATCTTTAAAATGTTCTATCAATGACACGAGGAATCGGAAAGAAAAGTGAAAGAACGTTACAGACAATTTGAATTACAAAATCAAAACCACAACCAGAAATTTAAGAAGATGCTGTTACAGAAAGCCGATCTGCTTACAAAAAAATTCCAATAATTATACAGGTTGTTGTTGTTAAGCGCAAAGCTACACAATGGGCTATCTATGCTCTGCCCACCACGGGTATCAAAATTCATTTTCAGCATCGTAAGCCTGCTGACTTACAGCTGGGCCACAGGGGGTCGTAATTACAAAATATTATCAAATAAATGCAGAAAGCTGCATAACGTATCGTGGATTCTAAGATTATCATTATTAAAAATAATGCAATTTGACTGAAAATAACAATTTTGGTAATTTACAGTGTCCAGTTGACGTGACTTACTTGAGGCTGATAATTAAATTTTCAGTAATCTACAAACGTGAAACTTTACATTATGCAAACAATACCAACAAAACATACGAATCTAATAACTGAAATTGTGAATGACAATTAAACTTACCTCAACACAAGGTAGTGTTAGTAAAGCAGTACAGAAAGATGTGACAAACAGAATGGACCACTTGGGTGATGTCAGTTTGCTTTAATAGAGGAACACCCTGATCTTAATCGGGTTAAAACCTTTTGTTTATTCCTGTTACTATCTACTTAGACACTTTATGCACAGCTCTAGTATCACACATCCAACAAGATAATGCAGCATATCAACTACTTCTGGAGTCGTAAATTTATAACCATTTCATCAAACAGTAATGACAACAAAGATAACAAAATGACGAACAGCAGACATGCATTCTCGCTGTTCACGCGAGTTTTCCATCAACAACAGCGCTAATCAAGTTAACACAAGTCGTCTGAAACAATTACCAGTTAATAATGTCTGTTTTTTTTTCACTTATTTTAGAATGACTAACGTACCACGAGCAAGTTTGAGAATGAAGTGAAGAATAAGCTAAAAACTCTCACAGAATCTGAAAAGTTGTACACAATTGTTTTAACAGGAATAGATATGTATATATATATATTTACAGCCACTCTATAAAAGTCATTCGAGATGAAGACATCCACATCAAATTGATATACTGTTACACTTCTCTGAGAAAAGACATTATCTATATTTTGGAGATGTAATTCAATAAAGTTGGTGATAGACAGCTAACAACATCTCCTTTAAATAGCGAAATCGTTAAAATAGCTCATGTAACCTTGCTTGATTATTCAGAAGTTGACATACATAAGGTAGAAAGTACAATGTAGAAAATATGCTCTGTAATATCTTACCGAAAGTAACTAAACAATGAAAAGCGTTTTTATATTTTGAAACATGAGTAATTTTTTTAAGGGGCGTAAAGTGTTATGGTAGAGGATAACAGCTACATGACGGCTAAGTGGAAGTTTCCATCATTGGGGACAACAAGGACATTGACATTTGCATCTGCAAGCAAGGAAAACGTGATCTTAGTCTGATGAAGATTAAAACATTGGTTTGCCAAAGTAGGTTTTTTGTTCGTTCTTGGATATAAATTTCTTCATAATTTTCCCCCAATATACAGTGTCGGTTCTTTCTTAGTATATGCTTAGCAAATTCATGGCATCTAGAGTTGTACGATTCATACTCTGTCTTAGGTACTGTATTTTTCGGAGTATAAAACGCACTCTTATTTTGAAGACAAAGTTTTTGGATGAAAAAAGCTACAGTC